GTGTGGAGGCTTCTTCGTAAGCTGCCTTTGCCAGAAGGTTGAAATCAGTGGTTCAGGCTTTGACCTCAGTTGTTTTTGCTAGACTTTGCAGGCTTGTTTGACGTTTGGGGAGCTCCTGCTGCAGACGCAGAGCCCTGCATGTATTAAGCTTAGGTCTGTCGCTCTGGAGTCTTAACACGCTGAGCTATGGAACTTTGAACCACAGTGTTCAGGTCCTTGGACCACAATCAACTCCGCCTTCTGCCGGAGAACTTCGGCGAGCTTTCTGGCCTGCACACACTGAACATCGAGAGGACTGGCGGTTGGGAGGGTTTAGTCTAGGCGAGGGTTGCGTTTGTGAAGGCAGTAAAGATCTCTAAATCCCAAAAACCCTCCAACTGCCACCACTAGCACCATTGCCACCATTACCACCACTACCACCAATACCAGCGCTACTACCAATATCACCAACGTCGCCAGCGTCGCCAGCACCACCAACACCACCCGCACTACCAGCGCCACCTGCTCCTGCGGCGCTGCACTGCCACGATCACTGCGCCCCTCTAAACTTGCCGCAAAATCTTCTACTAAACCGACTACTGAACCTACTTCTACTGCTGGCTGCTGCTACCGCTGCTACTACTCCTACTGCTGCTACTTCTCCTTCCACTACTTGTACTGGTGTGTTTCCATGTGATAGGCGTGCCAGGTTGGTGCCAAAAGAATGATGCTTGTCCGACGTCCGAAATTCTAAAGTTTAGGCAGCTTTTCATTTCGAAGAATGCCAAAGATAAGTTGTTTTCCAGTTTAGGGATAGCGTCAAAGGCATTCATTCGGGGCTCAGGGTCTGTTCACTCAAGGGGTCGGTTAGGATTGATGACGGGTCGCTGATTGAAAGCTGGAACCGTCTGAACCAACAACTGTCGGAACCACGCTTGAAAGTCCCACTAAATCCGGAGATCCAAACTGAAGCCCTCAGGGGCCGGATCCGAAGCTTCAGTTCTGAGTCGTGAACCTTGCGTTATTACTAGTAGGTCTTATTATTTCTAATATTACTAGTGCTACCATTATAACTATATTATATATGTTCCTACATTCATGGAACCTTGGCCCTTTGCATCCGCCTGGAGTTGCGAGACCTCGAAGGCCCTGAACACCCCAAGCAAGCAGCAAACAAAGCCCTTAAACCGAAGCCTAGTGTGTGTAGAAAGAGGCCATCCCCCAAAAGACCCTAAACTCTAAACCTGAACGCCATGAACTCAAAGTGTTGCGCCCTGAAGTTGGAGATTCTGAGACCGAAGTTCCAAGCAGGAATCACATCTCGGTGCTGCCTGACAGCTGCAGCAGACTCTTTTTGAAGGAGTTGTGCCTTGGAGCAGGATTGCGCGGCTTCGAAACTTGGGTGGCGGGTTGTCGTAGCGATGCAAAGTTTGCGACTGCGGGATGTAGACGGTTTCGAGCTACTGGCTCAGAGATCACTGAGCACCCAGATTCTTTGGCAACTTAGGTACATTGATGGAGAGAAGCTGCAGTCTTGGCCCAGCCAGCACTGGGCAGATTTGCATTTCGACCTGGAGCTGTTGGGGGCAATTTGAGCCGAGATTTTGTGGGACTCGCGGCTGATACTGTACCCCTCCTGGACTTCGTGTCTTTGCTGCTACTATCGCCTGCCTGGCCAACCAGGGTGTTTACGTTCTTCGTGCTCCAGTATACGCAAGTGACTGGGAGCCGGCATCTTGCAGCCGCATGGAGAGCGAAAAGCGCTAGATCCCTTGGGCGCTGATCAATCCGCCTGCATGCTGGGAAATGCCGGAGCCTGTGAATCTTCGCCTCTCGCAAAAGAATGCCATGATTTTGATTGAATTCAGGCATGAGGTGGATTCGAACGGCAACCGGCGCTATCGGCAGCAGCAGCAGTACAAGTACTGGTACTGGCACCAGTACTCCATCCATTACTGTACCGTTGCTGGACCATTACCACATTTTTTTCCACGTGTTGGTCCCCGTCCTTCCGAGCCAGAAAAAGGAACCCTCGAGCTGTCAAACAGGAGCTCGGGCTGCGTTAGAGCCCACCCGAAACCCAAAAGCTCCAAGCCATCATGGCGCGGAACTCGAACAGTTAGGATTTGGGTTAAGGGATTTGGGATTTGGGCTATGTCCCGTCCCAAATCGGATATTCTGCAATCCGGAGGAAGTGGGCGTGGAAGCTCGGCGTGCATGCTCTGAGGTCCACTTCCTAATGCGACGCCCCAAAACTTGTGAAATCCGGCTTCCAGGCCCCGGAACAAAGAGGGGTCCAAATCTGAAGACCTCCATACCGACTCTGACATCGGAAAGCTTCACCGAAACCCTTGCGCCATCACCAGGTGTCAGTTGGCATGCTTCCTGGCAGTGCCGGGTGTATCGAGACGCCAAGACCACCAGCTCTGAACCCATGGGCCCCATGAGCAACCGGAATCTGAGAAGCCGTTGTCGCTAAGTCACAGAACACAGCACCCCATGAAGCAGGGGCTGAAACTCAAAGGTTACAACGCGCGGCCCCTAGGCGAGGCCGAAAGTCTAAGTCTCTAAGTCACATAGGAGGCCCAACTGCCCCATTGGGGGCGGCCGAACTCCAAGTCACAGAACTTGGTCCTAATAAAGTAGATGCTGAAACTCTAAGTCACAAAGCGCGGCCCCTAGGCGAGGCCGAAAGTCTAAGTCTCTAAGTCACACAGGAGGCCCAACTCCCCCATTGGGGGCGGCCGAACTCCAAGTCACAGAACTTGGTCCTAATAAAGTAGATGCTGAAACTCTAAGTCACAAAGCGCGGCCCCTAGGCGAGGCCGAAAGTCTAAGTCTCTAAGTCACACAGGAGGCCCAACTCCCCCATTGGGGGCGGCCGAACTCCAAGTCACAGAACTTGGTCCTAATAAAGTAGATGCTGAAACTCAAAGTCACAAAGCGCGGCCCCTAGGCGAGGCCGAAAGTCTAAGTCTCTAAGTCACATAGGAGGCCCAACTCCCCCATCGGGGGCGGCCGAACTCCAAGTCACAGAACTTGGTCCTAATAAAGTAGATGCTGAAACTCAAAGTTACAAAGCGCGGCCCCTAGGCGAGGCCGAAAGTCTAAGTCTCTAAGTCACATAGGAGGCCCAACTCCCCCATTGGGGGCGTCCGAACTCCAAGTCACAGAACTTGGTCCCAATAAGGTAGATGCTGAAACTCTAAGTCACAAAGCGCGGCCCCTAGGCGAGGCCGAAAGTCTAAGTCTCTAAGTCACATAGGAGGCCAACTCCCCCATTGGGGGCGGCCGAACTCCAAGTCACAGAACTTGGTCCTAATAAAGTAGATGCTGAAACTCACAAAGCGCGGCCCCTAGGCGAGGCCGAAAGTCTAAGTCTCTAAGTCACATAGGAGGCCCAACTCCCCCATTGGGGGCGGCCGAACTCCAAGTCACAGAACTTGGTCCCAATAAAGTAGATGCTGAAACTCTAAGTCACAAAGCGCGGCCCCTAGGCGAGGCCGAAAGTCTAAGTCTCTAAGTCACATAGGAGGCCCAACTCCCCCATTGGGGGCGGCCGAACTCCAAGTCACAGAACTTGGTCCTAATAAGGTAGATGCTGAAACTCTAAGTCAACAGGCGAGGCCGAGCGCCTAAGGGATTGGGGGCGAGGCCTAGGCGAGGCCGAAAGTCTAAGTCTCTAAGTCACATAGGAGGCCCAACTCCCCCATTGGGGGCGGCCGAACTCCAAGTCACAGAACTTGGTCCCAATAAAGTAGATGCTGAAACTCAAAGACAAAGCGCGGCCCCTAGGCGAGGCCGAAAGTCTAAGTCTCTAAGTCACATAGGAGGCCCAACTCCCCCATTGGGGGCGGCCGAACTCCAAGTCACAGAACTTGGTCCTAATAAAGTAGATGCTGAAACTCTAAGTCACAAAGCGCGGCCCCTAGGCGAGGCCGAAAGTCTAAGTCTCTAAGTCACATAGGAGGCCCAACTCCCCCATTGGGGGCGGCCGAACTCCAAGTCACAGAACTTGGTCCCAATAAGGTAGATGCTCAAACTCTAAGTCACAAAGCGCGGCCCCTAGGCGAGGCCGAAAGTCTAAGTCTCTAAGTCACATAGGAGCCAACTCCCCCATTGGGGGCGGCCGAACTCCAAGTCACAGAACTTGGTCCCTGTCACAAAGCGCGGCCTAGGCGAGGCCGAAAGTCTAAGTCTCTAAGTCACATAGGAGGCCCAACTCCCCCATTGGGGGCGGCCGAACTGAAAGTCACAGAACTTGGTCCCAATAAAGTAGATGCTGAAACTCTAAGTCACAAAGCGCGGCCCCTAGGCGAGGCCGAAAGTCTAAGTCTCTAAGTCACATAGGAGGCCCAACTCCCCCATTGGGGGCGGCCGAACTCCAAGTCACAGAACTTGGTCCTAATAAAGTAGATGCTGAAACTCTAAGTCACAAAGCGCGGCCCCTAGGCGAGGCCGAAAGTCTAAGTCTCTAAGTCACATAGGAGGCCCAACTCCCGTGGTCCCAATAAATAAAGTAGATGCTGAAACTCTAAGTCACAAAGCGCGGCCCCTAGGCGAGGCCGAAAGTCTAAGTCTCTAAGTCACATAGGAGGCCCAACTCCCCCATTGGGGGCGGCCGAACTCCAAGTCACAGAACTTGGTCCAAACAAAGTAGATGCTGAAACTCTAAGTCACAAAGCGCGGCCCCTAGGCGAGGCCGAAAGTCTAAGTCTCTAAGTCACATAGGAGGCCCAACTCCCGTGGTCCCAATAAATAAAGTAGATGCTGAAACTCTAAGTCACAAAGCGCGGCCCCTAGGCGAGGCCGAAAGTCTAAGTCTCTAAGTCACATAGGAGGCCCAACTCCCCCATTGGGGGCGGCCGAACTCCAAGTCACAGAACTTGGTCCTAATAAAGTAGATGCTGAAACTCTAGGTCACAAAGCGCGGCCCCTAGGCGAGGCCGAAAGTCTAAGTCTCTAAGTCAAATAGGAGGCCCAACTCCCCCATCGGGGCGGCCGAACTCCAAGTCACGGAGGCACGACGACTCTGCAGACACCGGTGTGGACACGTCGGGGCCTCCGCTGTGACAGGGCTTGGGATTGCTCAGCCATACAGCCGAAACCTCAGCAGCCACTTTATTAGTAGATTCAAGCTGGGGTTGATTAGGAACTAAAAGTCAGAACAGACATATGTAGCAGTTATTTGGGGAGAGTCCCCAATGAGTTTCCCTATCGGTTTCGGGTTTTGATTCCCAGGGTTCCAATCAGTTCAGCCAGCAGGATTTCCTATCAAGCAGGGTGGGTGTCGGAGCAACAAGTCCAGTTCTATTCCTGGGAGGGGGAGGTCCGAGGTGTCCCCTGTCAACTGAGTGCCCCAATATAGGTGATATGTATGCGTGTTTTCTTCTTGTTGTCCTCCCGCTCATCCAGTGAATCGCTAAATCTTCAAATACCACTCTTGCAATAAATCTGTACGATTCGTTGAAGGGAGAAGTAGAGATAGAGAGAGAAAGAGAGAGAGAGAGAGAGAGAGAGAGAGAGAGAAGAGAGTCTAGGTTCCGCACTGGCTTCGGGAAGTTTATAAAAGTATGGCGTGCAAGGACCCCGGCACCCGGGTGACAAAGTATGCTGGGTGGGTGAACACTCAACATGATCTGTCACAGCGATGCAAAGGTAGAACTCACGGGGAATAAATCCAAACCAATCTTCAATTTCTGTGCTCGCTCAGCGGGGTTAGTAAAGAGCGAGCGGAGTAGATAGGTTTGGCAGAAGTCCCCGGGCCGTGGAAATTATCGTTGAGGGTGCCAACGCCCTGGTACACCGCCCTATACATTTTCAGCCTTTAGCTCTGAATCCTATACTAGATCATGCAGACCCATCCGAGGTCGGGTCGCCAAGCGTCTGCCGGCAACAGTCCCTGACTCGGCGGACCAAACGCTGCTGAAGTCTAGGTGTCCTATTGTCATTGGGGGTCTTCTGTGAGATGCGAACGATACTTGAAATGGTGCTGCCTGCGGCCGGCGATGTGCAACGTTGCGTCGTCTTGTGGCCACCGTCGTCGTCGTGCCATGGGCTCTCCGTCACGAGTCGGCGTTTCTTATGCTCTCAAACAGTCGCCACTTATTCGTCGGGTTTTTCCGATCCGTTGCATTACTCCGTATGATGTGTCGTTTTGCTGTTGAATCAGTAGCACCGCAACCTGCAGGATTGTCCCCAACAACTTAGCGCCACAAGTCGCAGGCAGCACGAAGACAGAGACGTCGACAAACCACCCTGCCTCACCCAAACTCTGAACCAAATGCCCTACACGCATCTCAGCAGATGTTTTCGGTGCGCCTTTTGATGTTCATCGGCATTCTGTACACGGCGAAGAAATCCCGAACCGAAATATTCAACTACACAGAAGCCGCAGTGTAAGGTTGAGGCCATATTGGTCTAGGGAGTGAGGCGGAAGCCTGCAGCAGAAAAGGGTGTAGTAACAGTGTGGTACGCTTCTGGAAGCATATGTTCCATCTTGAAAGCCCCACTGTTCGGAAGTTCGGAAGTTTTCTTGGCCGTGCAGCTTGGCTCTGGGGTTTGCACTGGGACGCAGCAGTTTGCCGCCTTGAAGCATTCGAAACTTCTTGTGGTGAACTTTTACAGCCATCTGATCGGTACTGTGCGATTGGTTTTACATCGGAAACAAGTTGTTGTTAAGTTCCTCTCGTATTTGTGCCCGAACCGCGGAACCCTAAGGGCGAGGCGTCTGAGTACGTGCGAGTTTGAACGTCAACGCCCTAAACCCTGCAACCCCAAACACTGAGCTCCAAGCCATACACGGAAACACGCATGCAACACTAAGCCTCAAACCCTGAGCCTATATCCCAACTCTAGGCACTGAAAGCCTAATTGCATTTCGTAAGGAGCATTAATCGACCGACCCCAAACATTGCAACCCTTCGACCTAAGCACCTCGCCTGGCTGTGTCCGAGTTGTGAGAGCGTAAACCCTTCGATCTAGAAGCTGCCATGGATGGTTCTGAGAGCGGCTCTGACACAACGGGCCTTTGCCCACCGACTCCGCGATCGCCTCGCAACCCGGGCTGCGCAACAAGTGATAGGGATTTTAGGTTGGGTTCAGGGAAAGGGGGTCCATTGCTGGGGTGATGATTATTTTCGCTACGGTTTTTGCTGCTAAGGTTCGTACTAGGATGATCTAGCAAATAGAACCATAATCTTTTTCTGTTATCATCTCCACAGTTATGACATGATGACCATCATCGTCATTGTGATTTTGGTCCTCCCACAACGCAGGATGCAAATTATTGTTATTGTCTTTATCTTTGGTGTTATTTGTTCTGCTATGGCTATGACTTCAGATGTGGCTTTAAGCCCTGCATTGTGTGTATATAAAACAGAACTGTATGCCTATACATCCCCCTGCACAAAACCAAACAGGGAGTGCAAACATGTCCTTCAAGTTCTTTCCCTTGAGCCACTGAAGGTCTACTGCGGAGGGGTTTGCCGAGTTCCCGAACACGGGGCTTCTTCCACGTGCGCTATGGTGGAATCGGCCGTTTTGAGGCCAGGAAGTCGGGTTCGCGTTAAGGCAGTTTCGGGTTGGACATGGGCTAAAGGGTCCGAAGTCAAGGATTCAGGCTTTGGCTGTTGGGGGTTCCAGCTCTTCCAAAGACATTGGAAGAAGGGTCGATTGGTGTTTGTGCATTGGGGTTCTGGAGCCTGGGAACAAGAGACGGTGCAGCTTCAGGGAACAGAGATGCAGCATCATCCGCCAAATGTTCGAAAATGGAATGCTTGTTGTACGGTTTAAAGGACAGCAAACGGCACACAGCGATTGTCATGTGGTTGGTGGATGTTCACATGTTAGGCAGCAGGACGGTCGCTAAACTCCGGGTCGGGGGAGGTAACACCTCTTTTGGGACTTTTGGGATAGCTAAACCCCAAGCCCTCAGGCCTTACCCCCAAGCCATTGAGCCGCAGCTGGAAGCGGGGAGCTGTCTGTGCGCTTAGGAGTTCGTTCGAACTGACCTCTTCCACTACTTGGCTAACATGCCGTTTCGGTACTTGGTCCTGGTCTACACCGTGACATACTTTCTTGGATGGGTGATATTTACTTTCTGGTGGCAAGTGGCGGCAGAGGGATGCGAACCGAAGGAGCTCACCTTCCGTCGTGCTTTTTTGCTTTCGCTGGAGACGATGACGACAATTGGGTATGGAGTTTCGGACCCGTTTGCTGCGCTGCAAGCAGTGCATGTGTGTGTTTTCTCATGCGCCTTGAGACATGGCAGGTAGGCAGGAGAATGAGAAACTTAGGTTCTTTGACGATTGCCGTGGAGTCATTCCGCTCCTGGTGGTGCAATCCCTACTTGGACTACTGATGGACACATTTTTTCTGAATCTTATGTACACGCGTCTTTCAACCGCCGTCAAACGTGCGTCCGGTATTATTTTCAGCGACGCAGCTGTGGTGTTTGAGGAAGGCGGCCACATCAAGCTGTCCTTGCGAATATGCGAGGCTGGAGTTGTTGGGTGTCACGCCAGGTCGGGAAGAGTGTCGTGTCATAGTCATAGTAATGGGAAGGTGCGTGTTTCCGGACATCTCGAAGGTGCTGGGATCTGGTCCTTTGCAGTTGCGACATCTGCGTTCAGATAATGTTTCCTGTGCCGCTTAGATATGGCCAGTGCAGCTGAATGGGGCACATGTAGAAGTCATCAGCCTCCTGTGAACCCAGAACCTTAAAACCTTACGCCTGCGAAACCCGCACCGCCGCACTGTTCCAGTTCCAGTGCGCGGTGATGTATTATATGATGCCATATCATATCATATCATGTCATATCATATCATATCATATGTTATTGTATATGATATCATATTCTGTTATTATATCTTATGGATTTTTACATTCTATTATGTATCTATTGCTTCGCGACCCTCCCCCGGCGACTCAAAGAGCCGCTCCAGAGCTCTCGACTTGCGCCCGCGCCGAGCAACGTGCCATGCGCTTGCTGATCGAAGTTCTCTCGTTTCGGAAAGCATGTGGAAATAGTACTAGCAATGATAATAGCAGTTCTCACAACAATATGTTAGTAGTAATAAAAAGTTGTTAGAATAATAGCACAGATACTAGTATAATGGAGTTCAGCAGAGGATCGTAAGGTGGAAGGGAAGGCTTAATCCAAGCTGGGTCATGCAAACCCACAGGTTGCGAAGCGGCCGGTGATTGAACCCATCGTGCGCATGTATGCCATCAAGCATGACACGCTTCCAGAGCCGACAGAGCTCATTGCAACTCAGCTGGCTGTTGCGTTTCGAAATTAAGGTCCGGGATGCTTGCAGGAGTTTGGACAAGCCTGGAGGTTGTCTTTGTGTTCTGGGGGTGCAGTAGACCCAGGATGTGGATGTCCGCCCCATGATCTTGGAGACGCCGAACATCGAGATCGCAGACGGGAAGCTCTTCTTGACGCTGCCCACCAAGGTCGGAGGGAAAAGCCCGAAAGGCGAAGCCCCTAAGGCCCCTAGGTGTGACTCCCGAAGACCTCTCTCCGAAAACTCCAAACCCGAGGTCGTCCATCGGGTGGATGCTGCCTCCCCGCTGGCACCGCCAGACCTCAAGCCGCTAAGACCTCCACATCTCCATCGTGTCCTTTGTGGTTTTGGGTGTAGGGGTTTAGGGGTTTCGGGGTTAAGATCAAGGATGTGTGGGCGGAGGTTCGGTGTAAGGGTCTTTGAGGTGAAGGGTCACAGGTTGAAGGGTTTAGGACAGAGGTTGGCCGGCTGTCTCGCGACTTGAAAGGAAGAGGGCACTAGCTCTTGGCTTAAACTTTACTGTAGGTTTTGCGGACCTAGGGACCTCGATGACTTCCAGTATTGCATGAACAGCTTGGATTACCTGGAGATCCTGGTGGTTGTCAGCGCAAGCTGCCCCATCACGGGCAACAGCCTGGAGTCTCGCCACTCCTACTCCAAAGAAAACCTTCGCTACAACAGCCGGCTGGCTCCCTGTGTCCGCGTCTTCGATGGGGCGCACGAGGTTGATTTCGAGGCCTTCCACCAGACGGTTCCACTCAAGTGAGACACGGCTCCTGCGGGGCACTTGGCGCCCGGAGACTCCATAATCCCAAATCAAGGAACAAATCTTAAATAGCATCAACATAGCCATCCTTGACCGAAGAAGCCACCGGTTGACAGATTTTGGAGTCCCCGGGCGGATTTCTTCTCTTGAGGAGGTCTGCAGGTTGGCAGTTCGTCGATCCTGGAGGGAAGCTTCGTGGAGGAGCTGAGGCTGTGCCTAATCCTGCCAAGGCAACTGGAAGAGCTGGAGCTGGAGCCACAGCACACGTGACATAGACACCAAAACAAGGCCCAAATCTTCCTCTGCCATGTGCCCGGCTCTCATGCCTAAACCCTAAACCCCAAAACCCAAAACCCTAAACCCTAAACCCCGAAACCGTGCGAGTTGGAAAAGAGAGCCCACGGTCTCACAGCCTCCAGGAGGTGCCCCGGGTGACGGTATCTGAGAAGCAGCTGTTGGAAAGTAGTAGTAGTAGTAGTAGTAGTAGTAGTACTAGTAATAATAGTAGTAGTAGCAGTAGCAGTAGGGCGGCGGCCATAATCCCGGTTCCTTTGCCCCACAGCAGATTTGAAAGAGGACCCCAAAACATGCCCAGTATGCAATGCTAGGCAAAATCGACCCAGGTGCTACCATTTCCTCCACCAGCCAGCATCAGCATTGGTATCGCAGCTATAGCGACAAATCTTCTTCAGCATACTTTTAATATATAGTCCGTAGTATGATTGTGGTTACTGTGATTGGAGCCGTTGGTACCGGCACGCAGCCTTTTATTACCCTGTGTCACCACCGACATGACAATGGGAAGCAAAATTAGGCCTTTGGCGGTGTTGCAGTTATTGAGATGGTTTTGTGTTCTCACATTTGGACAGTCTCGTTTCCTTGTTCCAACCCTCGTCCGTCGTGTTGTCATTATGTTCCCGACTGTTGCGACTCGAGGGCTTCTCTAAAGTGGGATCCATAATATTCGGGTCTTCGATGTATCAACGAGGTATAGTCTTTGAGGCCCAGTGACTCAACGTTTACACCGTTGCAGAGAACCCCCTGTTGATTTTTTAAGTTTCGACGCCCGCAGACGAGGTGGCGAAAGCGGGTCAGTCAGCGGCGTGCTAGAGCTGCCGACGGATGCTTTGGCAGCCGCTCTCCCAGCTTTGGGGCTTTGTCCGGCTTCATGGTGCATGCTTGATAGTATTAGAGTCTTACTAGAGATGAACTCCATAACTGCTGCCTACAGCAGAAACAAGAACGAGAAAAGCAGGCAACAAACGCATCCTGGAAAGCGATGGTATTTTCTCAGTCGCGGCGAAAAGTACACTCGTAATGTTTTTGTAGTCGGGTGCAAGCTAATTAGCCTGCCAGCTGGCAGCCATCGTGGATGATGATAATGGTGATGATGTTCACCACCACCACCACCACCACCACCATCACCACCATCATCATCATCATCATGAGAGTTCAGCTTGTGCGTCGCAGCCTGGCAGTCCGAGGCCAACATGGGAAAGCTTGACGTGGACGATGTTAGCCGCAAGCTTAGGACATCATTCAACTTGCAGGTTTCAGATTTCAACGTTTCATGTTAGTGGGGTTGACAAGCCCCTGGGTTTGTCATTTAGTATCTTGGTGTTTTATGGCGTAGAGTTGCCGGGTTTAGCATGTAATGGTTAGGCGGTTTAGAAATTGACAAAGAGCCCAGCTGCAAAATTGCAGACTTTAGCAGCAAACCTGAATCTTGAAACACCTGAAGCCCGAGCTCTAACCACCTTCCCAAAACCCGAATTGGGAATCGAGGGCCATATATTGGTAGGATGCCTTGGCAACGCAGATGTACAGCGTCTGTCGAGGCGTGGAGAACATCGAGATGCTGCTGTCCCGCATCGTGGGCAGAATCGCGAGCAGCTGAGCGTAGAGACAGCTTCTCGTGAGATCGACCTAGTGGGAACCCAACAGTGAGCCCTGTTTAGGAGACTCCTTCTGTCACCCTAATTTTCTCCAACGAGTTCAGCGTCCCTCCACTCCTCTAGGCATTACCGGTGTTCCTTGTGATCCTGGGACGTGCCCTACCTCACTGGGGTGTCGTGCCCCAGTTACCCGCAGTTGACCTGGACCTGGAAAACCCGACTGAGCCCTTGAGACCTGAAGCTCCAAAGCCTCAGCCACTCCGTGCTACATCTGGGATAAGCCGAAGTTCATGTCGTTCCGACAGACCCTAAGCTCTATCCCCTACCAAACACTGACCCTCATGTGCAGGTCTGCAGGTCTCGCCCTAGCCAAGCCTGAGGGCAAACCCTTGGCAAGAGCTCATATGTAGAGGTCTCACTGTCGGTTTTGGAAGGATTTTGGGGGATTTTACAAGGGTCTTAAGGAAGGATTTTAGGGCCCCCCTGCCTCACAGGATCGCGGCCGCATGGAGCTTGAGGAGAACCCGGGAGGAGCGTGGAAGCCTCATTAGGGCATCTACGGGGGCTTATGTTCCAGGCGTAACAGTTTGGTGTTTCCTGGTCATGGCTTCAAGGGCTTACAGTCTCAAGTGTCCAGAGGGCGAGAGCTTGGACGCTTCTGATGTTTTTGAAGGCTCAAAGGCTTAAGATTCGAAGAAAGGGGTTTTAGGATGTTAGGGCGGGGGGGGGCGGGCTCGGGCAGAGCTGCTCAGAACTGTTCTTGCAACGGACGTTTCCAAAACCTAAACTATGCGAAGTGTGTCAAGAACGGTTTGCATGGAGCAAACAAGAAGTTTCTGCATGCTGTGAGGTCGACCGCTTGGGAATAGATATTTGTATATTTGTCTCCTGATTGTTGGTGATGGTCGTTTGATGTCGTTTGTGTCATCATGAGTGTCTTTGCTATTGTTGCTGTGAAGAAGGTTATGCTGATATAAAGACGCAACAATAGCAAAGCCATGACAAGTTCTCCCAGCTTACTGTCGGGTCCAGGAATGTAGGAATTTAGGACATGTGGGGCTTGCAGCATGGAGTGTAGAACTTACGGAGCCGAGAGTTTTGGGCATGCGGGGTGTCTGGAAGGGAGTTCGGGGCTTCGGGGGTGCGGATCGAAGACGAGACCAGGCCCCGCCGCTACAAGCGCTGGGATCCGCGGGATGTGCACTCCCGAGGGGTTGGATCATAGGAGGCCAAATGGGGTTTTGGCCTATGGGGGTTTAGTAGGGATTAGGGTTCCCATAATAGGGTTCATGTTAAGGAATCCCTACCCCAAGAATCTTAAACCACCCTTTTGGCCTCCCATCATGTTAGAGCGAGTGAGTGTTCTGGGCTCAGGGTTCAGGATCTAAAGGGAACTCCAGAAAGTTGGAATATGGTTTCAGAGTAGGATACCCTATAATTTACCATAGAGGGTTTAGGATAGTCATATTCCAACTTTCTGGCTTTTACTTTAAGGGTTTACGAAAGGGGCCTTACCATTAAGTCCAAAGTAGGAAGCTGATTAAGAAACCTTGGGCCTTTAAGTAGCCTTTATTTAGGTTCCTCACATGAGTCCTACTATTTTTGGGTTGTAGGCCCAGGTCTTTTTTAATCAGGTTCCTACATGAGGCGGTATATTCTTACATAAAAGCGAGCAGCATATAAACAGGCGGCAGCTTATACTCTAACTACATGTCAGGGGACCCTAAGGAATATGTGTTAGAAGGGGCCCCCACCCTGTAATAGTGGTATAAGAGGAATATAATAGGGCCCCAATATAATCCTTATATATAGTCCTTCTAGTCACTATTACAGGGTGGGGGCAGCTTCTAAAATATGTGTTATTTATGGTTAAAGGCCGGGGCGAGTCGGACCCTGGCTCCGGGGGTTCGAGGGCCTGCCGGCCCTCAAGGAGTCTCAGGTTCAAGGCTTATGAATATATTTGTTGTTGTTACTCTTGTTGTTGCTACTCTCTCCATCAAAACTACAACAAACATACTATGGGTCCTCGGCTGTTTTTGTGGATTGTGGTTCGGAGTTGGGTTCAGGGTTTAGGAAAAGGTGACAACTAGTTCTGTCAACAGATGCTGCGGATCTCTAGCCGTCAGACTGAAGGTCGGCAAACCATGCGTTGGAGCTCTGATGGTTTGGGGTTCAGGGTTAAGAGCTGCGGTTACGGGTGCGCGTGAACCCCGAAACACCACAAGCAAAGCTTGAACAAAGCCTTAAGCTCTGAATCGGGATCTAGAGCTATGCAGTTGAGGCTTTAGGCATGGCCTACTTCAAGGCGCGCAACAGCAGCATCAGTTTTCGCGGTAGGTTTCAAGTTCTTCACGACGACGAGGATTTCGACGTATACAACTGAGGCTACGGCATAACGACATCACGACATCGCCGACTACTGCTGCTTCGACGACTGCTAACCCCGCTGCTGTTGCTGGTGCTCTGGCTACCGCTACTGGTGCTGCTCCTGCTGCAATTGCTCTTGCTGGTGGTGGTGGTGGTGGTGGTGGTGGTGCTGCTGCTGCTGCTGCCCCGACTCCTCCTCCTCCTCCTCCGACCGATGTTCTTTGCTGCCGCCGCAACGACTATGACTTCGACTGCGACGAGCACGATGAGGACTACTACTCTCCGCCTCAGTCATACATGCAAAAAAAATACAAAAGACCTATTCGACCCACTTGGGCCTCCATATTGAACCGTGTAGAAGCGTAAACAAAACTCTCCAACGACTGAGGAGGGCTTTGTTCGGTGTGTTTTTTGGCGGTTTGTGGATGTACGTACTTGAGTTTGGAGGGGGGCCGGTAATCTTGGATTACTCAAGACCGGTAAGCTTTTCAGAGCCCCTCCCACGGACTTCGCAAGGTGCCCTTGAAACAACCCTGCTGTTTTGAAGGTCCCCAAATGACGGACATTTCCCCAAGGCCGGTGACCTGTCGGATGTGGAGCCCCTGGAGCTGCAGCGATGGGTGCGGCAGCTGAGACAGAGACGGTTTGGGTGCATGTGCACGCATGTTTTACACAGTCCTGCTTAGGCTGGCTTGGAAAGTTGTCTCCGGCATATCTTCGAAGCCCGGACTCAAACGGGGTTGTCCGGTATAGAGATGAGTCATGCGGACGTGTTAAGAGTTCAGGGCGAGGCGGGTTCAGGATTTATGGCTCAGGGTTCGGACTCTGAATTGGGGTTCCCTTTTGTGAGTTGTTCTGAGTAAACTAGTCTGACTCAGGTACGAGAACTTCAGTTTTCAGCTTGAAGTTCAAGCGCCCCAAAACCTGCAAATCTGGGCTCAAGAGCGTTGTTTGGGGGAGTCTGCTGGCGGGCTACGGCAGATCCGTAGTTAAAGCAGCCACTCTTAGCCGCCTGCACCCGAACTACAGCCATGGCGGGCCGCGCTCCACTCCTGTCCTGCATCGCCCTGTTCTCCCTGGCCCTTTTGGCTCCCACGTTTACGCCGTCCCTGCTGGGCTTTCCCAAGGCTCCACAGAGACCAGCGTGTACCCTGTTTTGGTTCAGGAATGCAGCTTTATATTGCCCAGTAAGGATGTATCGGGCCTTCCACATCACGGAACCTTTGGCAAGTTGAGAGGGGAAAAATGCGGGTCTGAATAAGACGTAAAAGCATCCTCGTAGAGACCCTTCCTTTGATACTTGTAGTATGTTTCTCCTGTCCAAGTCATTTCCTAAAGCTCTCAGAATTTACTATATGATCCAAGGCTAAGAATTCCTTATACTCCTGCAGCCCTTTGGGGTTGAGGTGCGTTCAGAAGACTCATACGGAAAGTTATACAATTCCCTCACTGTCACTGTGGCCGTAGCCGTTTCTTTGCCGCACCACACTCTATACATCTATATGCCTCTAGACTGCAAACACCCTAAACCCATGAATTCTAAATATTGGCCCAACACCTCCCAAACCGTAAAACCAAAGCCCCTCAGCCACGCAGTACACGGCTAGCTTGGCTCATCGTACTTTTCTCTGTTCGTGGCAGCTTGACACTTTTGATTGACTATCAGACCCTCTGCGCCTAGCCGACGGCTATGGAGGCGAACCATCGCATTCCCTGGGTCGAGGTAGGGCTCGCTGCACCTCTGCAAGAAGGCAGAGAAGATGGGACCTACATCGTCGATCTGGGGGGAAACCGTGGACAAATTTTGGACACGCTGAGGGAGGCTGAGGACCGCCACAGATACAGGCG